TTAGAAAATTTGACATCAAATACTTCAATTAGCATGCTTTTGTCTTGAAAATTAGTAAACTAACATTACTGGAAAACACTTCTAAACTCACAATTTTGAGTTTGATTTTAAACTTAATCCTCTAAGCAGTGTAAAGGAGATGTTAAGCATACTCTCTTTGGTTCCCAAGTTTACGTTTGGGTCATCTAAGATCTCAGATCTGTGACCCCAACACCCTCACTGCAAAATCAAAGGAGGTTTTAGAACAATTGACATAAAATACTTCAATGTGTAAATGTAGTTTGCAAATTAGTAAAGTAACATGACCTGTTCAAAAATGGAATGGTAAAAAGCCCTGCAAAAACAGATTTTAATAAGTATAACTGAAGTCAAACTTATACTCTAACATTAATGGTCCACTTTTTCATCTTAAACTCTAACATTACCTGTTAACTAATTGTAGACTCGGTTTGGTTCCCAACTTTAAAATTGAATGAGTTAAGATATCACACCTGTCACCAATACACCTTCACTGCAAAATGAAAGGTCATTTTAGCAAATTTTTAAGAAAATACTTCAATTACTAATTGTCTCTTGGAAATTCGTAAAGTAACATTACTGGAAAACACTTCTAAACTCACAATTAAAATAAAAGTTTTAAATTTACATTTAAACAGTGTAGGAGATCTGTTCTGCATAATCTATTTGGTTACTAAGTTTACGTTTGGGTCATGTAAGATCTCAAATCTGTGACCCCAACACCTACAATGCAAAATCAAAGTCACCTTAGAGGAATTGACATAAGATACTTCAATTAGTAAAAGTGTCTTTAAAATTAGTAAAGTAACATCACCTGCTCAAAAACCAAATTCAAGATCCCCTGAAAAAAATCGATTCTAATAAGTGTTAATGAAGTCAAACTTATATATACTTATTCACATTGGTTCATAATGAAGTGTTCAAATGGTAATTGTCTCTTTCATTTACAGTATAACATGACCACAAAAATATACAGGTCCTTTATATGTTAACAGGCACACCACCTAAATATATAAAACTATAATTAAAAACATTAACCTTTCAGCTTCATTAATATAACAACAATAAAAAAAAATATTACAGTGAGGGATTAATTCACAGAACTTTAAAAAACCTTTTAGGTTCCCTATGTACTTGATAACATGAATAATTAAGTCCTACAATTTTGGTTTTCAAGAGAAAGAAATTTACCTTTTATATAAATACACAACCAATAAAAACAATATTGGATTTACAACACTGATCTGAACACAATACTCTCATCCCATAAAAAACCATTCCCATCAAAAGCACAGTGGCTAAAGCATTCCTATTGTAGAACATGAGGAAGATTACATCATCATGCACGATTGGATCCAAGAGGAAACAGTGTCGTCAAACAAAAGGTGTGTCTCCTTCAAATGCATTACATACACTATCAAATGGCATATTAAAAAGGGCATATATTAGAAAAACTTATCTCTTTTCGAAGCTCTCTGTTCAAATTAGAAACCCTTGGTTGTAGACAAATGAATATGTTCGATTTATAAGAAACTGCAAAAAAATCTAAAAATATCAAATTAGAAATTATCGAAAGTTAAAAAATCAAATAAACAAAATTTTAGGGTTTAGATGCATGATTCTGAAACTCAAATTTCTGGGTTCTAGATTGTCGATTAAGTAACATCAGTTCACAGAAAAAAATCGAAATGAAGCATAAATCCTATATTAAAGCTTATAATTGAATTTTAAAGTAGTAAATCGGAGAAAAGAAGAACCAGGATTAAAAACTTACAAATATAGGTGTGAGACTTCATTTCCATTTTCGCGACTGTTGAATCTACGAGCAAACTCAAACTCAGAGTAGGGTTTCCAAATCGGTAGAGAAATAGGACGAAATCGAGAGATGATGTTTGTAGATTACATTCGAACGACACCTGATTACGAACAGAGAGCGCATGATCTGGAAAATAATGTAGAGAAATAGGACGAAATCGAGAGAAAAGGGTGCAAAGAGAGAACTGTGAACGCTGGGTATGAAATGAGAGCATCATTCTCATTTCCAAAATATAACCCAGATCTTATTGTAGCAGATAAGGTCAACAAAGACCCATTACTGCTTCTGGTGAGAAAACTAACACTATGGTTACTTAATGGAGTAATATTTATAATCTCTATATATATATTATAAAACTGATTAAAAAATTTAGTTTGAGGATTATATACATTATATATAAAATATATAAACTGGACTATTTCACTTTACATTAAGCATTTACTTTTGGTAGTGCATGTAATTATAGAGATAGAGATTTATTATATGTTTGGAATTTGAAGTTTTATCATTATTTTACATGTTTAGCAATGGTTATTTTTTTAATTAAAGTTGAATATTTTATGACACTAATATATAATCTCTTAATGACTGCTTTAAACATTCATGTCCTAATATGCAGAGAACGAACATTTTACACCCAATGAAGGTTCAGAATCATCGTTAACAAATCAAGTTCCACAACCGTCTAATAGAACACAAATATTGGGTGTCTTTCAAAATACACTTTGTACACCTTTTAGTATTGTTACAAATGGTGAGCAAGTCTTGAGCTTTTTGGATTAAAGACAGAAATCCTAGCAGGGTATTTTTTTTAACCATTTTTTCTGAATTTATATAATATAACTAATTATATTCTTTTATTTTGCGTAACAGGGTCTACCACTACAAGAACATTAATGTCTAACAACTTGGGTCAAACAAGCAATTACAGACAACCTGTAAGCAATATTACAAATTGTTAGTATTGTTATATTAATATAAACAATTTTCCAAACACTTAATCGGCAATTATGCATTATTTATACTATAATAACAATACTTAATTGATGACAACTATTATAGCTTATTGCGAAGAAGTTATTGATTTAATGGATAATTCACCGCCGAAGAAGCGCCTTATTCATACATTTGACCTGAATTTGTCGCCAAGTAAAAGCGATGACGCAATTGGTAAACAAATCGTCAACTAAAAATCTAAATTATTACATTATGTTTATAACATTAGTATAACGTACCCTAATATTTCTGTTTATGATTGTAATAGTTTTCGAGACGAATGGTTGTGTTACAACAGATGGTAACAAAGGAACGCCAAACCCAATAGAATTACACCCCGTTCCACACGTTCGGAACCTAATTTCAGAGTTCGAAGAGGTTGTTGAACCTATACAGCTGCAAACCGTTGCAATTAATGGTCCGTCAAGTCTCTTCATTCCCAAGAAATAATATTCATAAAATGTACTCTATATATGCCAGATAATTGGATTTATTTTATTTATTTAAATGTCTTTTTTTACAGTTGAATACCTAGATTTTGGAGACCCAGAATTCGTGTGCGAGTACTGTAGTGCCATTTTTTGGTCAAATGAACGCTCATCACAGTCAAAACCAAATGCAAATCCAAAGTACTCAAGTTGCTGTGTACATGGGAAAATAGTGTTACCGTTGATGATAAAGCCACCGAATAAGTTACATGATTTGTTCTTTGTACCAAGTGAGAAAAACAAATGTTTCTTGCAAAATATAAGATCGTATAATAACATGTTTTGTTTCACATCGATGGGTGGTAAAGTGGATAGGTCAATTAATAATGGTGCTGCACCACCAATATTTCGTATTAATGGCCAGAACTTCCATCGCATTGGAAGTCTTTTACCTACTGCGGGAGTACAACCAAAGTTTGCGCAACTTTATATTCACGGCACACAAAATGAAATCGAAAATCGCATCAAGTGTGTTAGGTATAACAAATTCAAAACATTAACATTTCATTTTTCTAAGTACATACAATTATACAGTTATTTAACAATATTTGTAATTCTTTATATTAAACTTTTTGTAGGACTGATACCGATCAAGCGGATCTACATCGAGAATTTGTAGCTGACATTAAAGAGGTTTTAGATCACAATAATGTGTTTGTCAAATCATTTCGTATGGCTAAGAACTTTCTTGATTGTAATGACACATCTGAGATTAAGATGAGGCTGATAGGCAGGAGGGCTACAGATGCACGTACTTATTCATTACCAACAACGTCTGAGGTTGCAGCTCTAATAGTAGGAAACCTAGAGCCATCAATGGGTGAACGGGACATTTTAGTGGAGTGTAAAACTGGAGGGCTGAAAAGAATTAGTGAATTAAACCCAGCCTATTTGCCATTGCAATATCCAATTTTATTCCCTTATGGCGAGGATGGATTTAGGGAGGACATTTGATTTTCAACAACAATTATTAATCATAATTGGTCAAGAAAAAGTGTCTCGCAAAGGGAGTATTTCGCTTTTCGTGTTCATGAAAGGTTAACTGAGATATCAACTCTACTATATGCTAAGAGGTTATTCCAACAATTCTTAGTCGATGTGTATACAATGATTGAATCTTCACGGTTGTGTTATATAAGGTCAAATCAAAAAGCGTTGAGATGTGAGGCATACAAAGGCCTCTCAGATGCCTTGACTCGAGGTGAGATTGAACCCAGCACTCAAGGCAAAAGAATCATATTACCATCAAGTTTTACCGGCGGGGCAAGATACATGATACAAAACTATCAAGATGCTATGGCGATTTGTAGGTTTATAGGTTATCCAAACCTATTTATTACAGTCACATGCAATCCAAAATGGCCTGAGATTAAACGGTTTTTGGACAAAAGGAACTTGAAGGTAGAAGATAGGCCCGACATAGTTTGTCGTGTATTCAAGATGAAATTGGATTAAATGATAAAAGAGATTAAGAAAGGGGAATTATTTGGTCACGTTAAAGCTGGTATAAATTATTGTACATTATAATATATTTTTTAAGTGTGCTATAATACAAAAATAAAAATTCACTTAGTTCTTTGTTTGCAGTTATTTACACAATCGAATTTCAAAAAAGAGGTTTACCACATGCACATATACTGTTGTTCCTTCAAAAGTATGATGATTTTTCTAGCCCAACATTCATGGACTCGATCATTTCAGCTGAGATTCCGGATAAGGTTACTGACTTGGTATATTATATAGCTGTTGAAGAATTCATGGTTCATGGATCTTGCGGACACACTAAAAGGAATTCACCGTGTATGGTAAATGATAAGTGCTCTAAACATTTCCCCAAGAGATTCATTGATTCATCTCAGTTTGATCAAGATGGGTACCCGTTGTACCATAGACGAAATGACAATAGAATGGTAAAAAAGAGTGGAATAGAGCTTGATAACAGGTATATTGTACCTCATAATCGATATCTACTACTGAAGTACAAAGCCCACATTAATGTTGAATGGTGCTACCAATCACAATCAATCAAGTATTTGTTCAAATACGTCAACAAAGGTAATGACCGGGTTACAGCTGAGTTTTATAAGACCACAACTGATGATAGCGGTAATGAAGTTGTAGATGAAATCAACATGTACTACGATTGCCGCTACATTTCAGCTTGTGAGGCAATGTGGCGCTTACTTAGTTTTGAGGTACAGTATCGCACACCACTTGTTGAGAGGCTAAGCTTTCACTTACCGGATTGCCAATCAGTTGTTTTTCAAGACGATGATAACATTAATCACGTTTTGAATAGGGAATCAGTTGCGCAAAGTATGTTCAATGGATGGTTTGTAGCAAACCAAAAGTACCCACAACTTAAACAGTTAAGTTACATAGAGATGCCTACAAAATTTGTTTGGAAAAAGGACATTCGTGAATGGCATCCAAGAAAGAAGGGTTTCGCCATCGGTCGAATATTCTATGTTCCACCAGCATCTGGTGAGTTATATTATTTGAGGTGCTTATTGAACATAGTACGTGGGCCCGAAACTTTTGAAGATATTAGGACACATAATGGAGTGGAGTATGGTACATTTAGGGATGCATGTTATGCTCAAGGCATGTTGGATGACAATAAAGAGTACATTGATGCTATAGTAGAAGCAAGCTTTTGGTCAACTGCTCATTCATTAAGGAAGTTGTTTGTAGTGCTTTTGACATCGAGTTGTATCATTAGGCCAGAATATGTTTGGAATGAGGTGTGGAAACATTTGTGTGAGGATGCTCAACATGTTCAGAGAAGGATTCTACAACAACCCGGTATAAACTATGTCTCATATTAAACTTATAAAATTACTGTAAATAATATTCTTTATTAAAGTTGTTTTTTTTTTTTTTTTTTTTTTTTTTTTTTTTTTTTTTTTTTCATATTTTATTACAACAGAATTGTTCTTAACTGAAGAAGAAAAGAAGAACTTTGGGCTAATTGAGTTGGAGAAATTGTTGGAACAACAGAATAAGTCTTTAAAGGACTACCACCCGATGCCGATCCCAGAAATGGTTAACTCTACATTGGTACGTAATCGATTATTGTATGAAGAATTATCATATGATCGTGAGTTTTTAAAAAAGGAGGCTCAAGAGTTGTGTGGTAAGTTGACGGAAGAGCAAAGATCGATTTACAATACTGTGCTAGACGACGTTTCCAGTCACCTGGGTGGTTTGTTTTTTGTTTATGGTTACGGTGGTACTGGGAAAACATTCATGTGGCGAGCATTATCATCTACATTGCTTTCAAAGGGCCAGATTGTTTTGAATGTTGCATCAAGTGGTATAGCTTCGTTGTTATTGCATGGTGGACGAACTGCACACTCAAGGTTCATAATACCAATAGCAATAAACGAAGATTCGACATGTAACATTAAATAAGGAAGTCAGTTAGCTGATTTATTGATACAAACAAGTTTAATAATTTGGGATGAAGCGCCGATGATGCACAAGTATTGTTTTGAAGAACTAGACCAGACCATGAGGGATTTGTTGCATTTTGTAGACCCGAACAGTTCCAACAAGACGGCAAAACAGTCGTACTCGGTGGTAATTTCCGTCAAATACTACCCGTAGTCCCCAAAGGTACTAGGCAAGACATAGTAGGTGCTACTATCAATTCTTCGTACTTATGGGACAGTTGCAGGGTTATGAAGCTAACACAGAATTTGCGTCTAAGCAATGTCGAAAACCACGACGAGCGCCGTGCCGCCAAACAGTTTGCAGATTGGATTGCTGCAATAGGTGATGGAAAGATTGGTGGCCATAATGATGGTTATGCTGAAGTAGAAATACCTAGGGATATGTTACTACCTACCAATGGTGACCATATTGCAACCATTGTTCGGAGTACATTTCCAATGTTTGCAAATGGTAATTCTAATGCGAGTTATCTTCAAGGCCGTGCTATTCTGGCACCTACACTAGATGTAGTGAACTCAGTTAATGAGTATATGAGTGACATGCATATTGCTGAAAGTAAAACATATTTTAGTTGCGACACAATATGCAAAGCGGATGCAGGTAGTGGAATAATGGGTGATGTCCACACACCTGAGTTTTTGAACAGTATTAGAGCTTCAGGTATCCCAAACCATGCATTGACTATAAAAATTGGTTCCCCAGTAATGTTATTAAGAAATATTGATCACTCAGTTGGATTGTGTAATGGTACGCGGTTGGTAATCACAAAGTTAGCAGACCGTGTAATTGAAGCTGAATTAATAGATGGTGCTAACAAAGGTGAAAAAGTGTTGATACCTAGAATGTCGATGTCACCCTCAGACACAAGATTACCATTCAAGTTTCAACGACGACAATTCCCACTAATGTTAGCATATGCAATGACTATTAACAAAAGTCAAGGTCAAACACTGTCACAAGTAGGTTTGCTTATAAAAAAAACCGGTTTTTGTGCATGGTCAATTGTACGTTGCTGCATCTCGAGTTAACAACCCAAGTGGGCTTAAAATATTGATTGTCAGCGACTCAAGGACAACTGCTACATCAACAACCAACGTAGTATACCATGAAATCTTCAATAATGTGTAATTGTTTACTAAACGGTATTTTTGGATATTCTGTTTAAACATGTTGTAATAATTTTTACTATTTGTTAATATTGCAAAATTTTCACAATAACGTAACCAATTATTCACACAATTGTAAACTATCTTGAACAATATCCATCCCGTGCATCGCACGGGGACTATACTAGTTAATATATATAGAGATAGAGATTTTTCCCTAATCATTTTGTTTTAATATATATAGAGATAGAGATATAGAAAATATAGAAATATAATATATAATATATGCAATATTTTATAAATTAATGATATAGTCATGTTATGTTGACTAATTTAATAATTATGTTGATGTTGAATACAATAAATACTTTCACACTTTGCAGGGAAAAAAAATTCCTTAATCATTTTACTTTAATATATATAGAGATAGAGATTCTTTTAACTTTGCCCTATTATATTTTAACATTTCATTTGCGTGTTGAAATTAATCTTCATTTAAATTTGTCGTTTCACCATTTAATAAAGATAACTAACATATAATCTTTTCATTCGATTAAGAAAACTTATGCGAGAGAAAGAAAAATTACACGTTAAGACTAATTTGACCATTTATAGTTTTATGCCCATTTTAGAGACCAAAAGTACAATTAACTATTATTCATGTTAAATCAATATGTCATGCTTATGCAATTGAGTGCACTACGTCAAAAAAAAAAAAAAAAAAAAAAAAAAAAAGAAATCAACATGAGTTCGGAAACGCTCTCTGGAAAGGCGAACAAACCGTCGGCGACAAGGTCACCGGGGGACCAAGATTTGGAGAGAAGCACGAAGAAATCCAAAACGAGAACAGAAGGCATGGAAGGGAACAATGCAGGGAAAGACATGGTAATGGAAGTCGGCGAGGAGACCAACCCTCCCGCAACCCCAGTAGCAGAAAAGACGACGACTCCCCCCCAGGCCACTGCCGCGGAGAAGACAACTGCAAGTATTTCGTACAAGGCTGTTGCTGCTAATGAAGTGCCAATCCAAGGGCCGTCTGCAGTAGAATTGGACCTCATCTCTGATGACGAAGAAGAAGATGAAGAAGAGAGGAAGATCCAATATGCCCGCGAATAACTCTCACGAAAGTGGAGAAATATCACATGAGGAGCAAATGGAAACGCACGCTGATCATCAAAGTCTTTGGCAAAACTGTGGGATACACATACCTCCTTCGCCGTCTAACGGCTATGTGGCAACCCCGATCTAGAATGGATCTCGTCAACATTGACAATGGTTATTCTTGGTGAAGTTTGGGTCTGAGGAAGACTACAACTTTGCGAAGTTTGGCGGCCCTTGGATGGTGTTGGATCATTATCTGATCGTGAAAGAGTGGAGACCTAACTTTGATCCCTTAACGGACACTACCGAATCAGTCTTAGTATGGGTTTGGCTACCATGTCTCCCGTCAGAATACTACGACTCAACTTCTTAATGAAAGTGGGAAGAAAGATAGGTCGACCCATCATGATAGACACAGCGACTAGTGAGGTCTCCAAAGCCATGTTCGCAAGAATATGTGTAGAAGTTGACATCACCAAACCGCTCCTACCAAAGTTCACGGCAAGACGAAAGGTTCGAACAGTGATGTACGAAGAACTCCATCTCATCTGCTTTCGCTGTGGTATGTATGGACATGGCGCCGAGAACTGCCCTACGCATACGGAAGAGAAGGAACAAACTCACAGCGAGCCATGGAACTCCCATCCGACGCCGACGACCGGAGTCACCAACGGCCAATCTGTTTCCCAAAATGGTAAGGAACATAGTGGTAAAGAATCACCCATAATCAGGCCGGAGATTGTGGATGATTACGGATCATGGATGATCGTCCAGAAACTGGAAAGGAAGAATTATAATTACCATAATAAGCAATATTCTAGGGCCACCAAATATGGCAACGCAGGCACCAACGGTCAGAAAGAGAAACTACCCAGAAACGATAAAAAGGAAGACAATAAGGGATCACGATTTGGTGCGTTGGCAGAGGATCAAGAAGGTGACTGTGAGGAAATTATGGAAGTAAACGATACAGAGATGGTAAGATCAAGGAAGGACAATAGGGATCAACCAAAAAAGGGTGGAATCAATAAAGGAAAGAGACCTGCAGTGCAAGTTTCGGAGAAACAAGTTCAAGGAAACAATGCGCACGGGATTCACAGAAAGCAAAACCAGAACGCGAGTACATCGGTGAAAAAAACCCACCCCAAACAGATAAAAGGCAAGCAAGTGAACTAAGCGGCTGTAGCAAATGAACACATTCTGGTCAAAGGAGATAATAAAGGAGGAAAGTCTACGGAAACTATTTGCATAGAAGAGGAAAACAGTAGCATGCACCTTGACGTGGTCGAGACAAGTGTTTTGGAACATTCCAACGACCCCCCTGATGCTGCCCATCATGAGGACGTCGACGTTGGGGTGTCTGATGAGGAATTTGATGATAGTCTTGAGCTGCTGGATGGGGGAGACATGGAGGTGGAGCTCTGGGCTGTTCCACCACCGGTTTGTTTCCCGTGTTTTGCTTTTTGCTTTTGCGTTTTCTGTTTGTTTTGTTTCCTTCTTGTGTCTCGTTCTTCTCTTTTGTTGTTTGTTTCTTATGATAGTTATCACCTGGAACTATCAAGGGGCGGCCTCAAAGAAGTTTTTGAGAGCCGCTAAATGGTTGATCACAAATCACAAGCCAGACATTCTTTGCCTTTTGGAAACCAAGACTTCTGGTGTTAATGCAGATGGCATTTGCATAAACCTCGGCTTTGATAAATGGGCTCGTGTAGAAGCTCTCGGTTATAGTGGAGGAATTTGGGTCCTATAGCGTGACACGCTGAACATTAGGATTCTCTCCTCCCACACTCAGTTTATGCATATGGCTGTGAGAGATAATAAAGACAAGGATTGGATCTTCATTGCGGTGTATGGTAGTCCCTCTCTACACTTAAGAAGGGGGCTTTGGAACGACCTCAACCAGGAGAAACTTCATATTCGGGGTCCCTGGATGATTGCAGGTGATTTCAATGCCATCCTCAACACTGAGGAAACCTCAAACCAAAATGCAAGTGGAAATTACAGGAATGACGATTTCAGAAATTGGATGTTTAATGAAGGTCTAGTGGACCTCGGTTATATTGGTCAAACTTTCACCTGGAAAAGGGGGAACGATCAAACTACCTTCAAAGGCGCTAGACTTGATCGGGCTATTTGTTCTTTAGATTTGCTGGAAACCTTTCACAACACGAAGGTAACGCATTTAGCAGCTAACAGTTCCGATCATTGCCCGATCAAAATCTGCATTGATGAAACACAAAGGTCTTATCAAACGCCCTTTCGGTTCCAAGGAGCATGGACCAGCCATGCAGGCTTTCTTGACTGTATCAGAAATGCTTGGAATGTCAAGACCGACGTTTGGAGTAACAGGGAAAATATGGCCGCGAAGCTGAAGGTTTGGAATAGAGATGTTTTTCGTAACATTCACTCTCTCAAAAGAACTTGGAAAAAAAACTTGAAGGTATCCAAAGAAGATTGGACCAAAGACTCGAAATGGGCCTGATCAAACTTGAAAGAAAGGTCCGATAAGAGCTAGAGGACGTACTCCATCAAGAAGAAATCTTATGGTTCCAACAAGCTAGGGAGGATTGGATCTCATCCGGGGATAGAAATAATAAATTCTATCATGCGGCCACCAAGATTAAGAAAGCCAGGACAAATTGCTATCACCTTCATAATGAAGAAGGGGTTCCCGCCATTAATGACCTACAGGAGGAAGAAATGGTTAAAACCTACTTTGAATCTATTTTCACAAAGGACAGAGACCGGGACATTATACCCATAACAGAAGACTCTTTTCCCATTGTCCCGGATGACATGTGGAATACTTTCAATACAGACATCTCGTTAGAAGAAATCAAAGTTGCCCTCTTTGAAATGAGCCCGCTCAAGGCCACGGGTCCTGACGGTTTTCATGCTTGCTTCTATCAAAAGGCGTGGGATATTGTCGGCGACTCTATCTTTAGACAGGCTAAGAACTTCTATGCGTATGGGAAACTCAACCATGGGATGAATGACACCCTTATCTCATTGATACCCAAAATTAACAGCCCCGTTAAAGCCAGTCAGTTCCGCCCTATTAGCCTTTGTAACGTTATTTACAAGATCATCACAAAGGCTATGACCAACCGCCTGAAACCGTTGTTTAAGAAAGTGGTGGGTAGGGAGCAAAGCAAATTACCGATAATATTCTGGTCTACCAGGAAGCTCTACATTCGCTGAGGACCAAGCAAGGTACTAAAGGCTACATGATCCTAAAAGTGGACCTCGAAAAGGCCTATGATAGACTTGATTGGAACTTCATTCGGGACACGCTCCAAAGGGTGGGTTTGAATGACATCTGGATCAGGAATATCATGGAGTGCGTCGAAACAACTAGGCTTGGCCTTCTTTGGAATGGGAATCAATTGAACTGGATTACTCCTAGCTGAGGCATAAGGCAAGGAGATGCTATATCACCCTACCTGTTTGTTATGCATGGAACGCCTCAGCCATATCATCAAGGATCAGGTCCATCACAATCGGTGGAAAGGCATGAAAACCAGCAGGTATGGTCCCACTCTTTCCCACTTATTTTTTGCTGACGATCTGGTGTTATTTGCAGAAGCTTTGCAGAGCCAAATCATCATTATTAAAGAATGCCTAGAGAAATTTAGCAACGCCTCGGGACAAAAAGTCAGTCTAAGCAAATCCCAAATCTTTTTCTCCAAAAATGTGACGACCCATGAGAAGAATAAGATAGTCGAAATTGCGGGGATCCCGATGACGCCCAACCTTGGCCGTTACCTTGGGGTACCGTCCATCCACGGGAGGGTAACAATAAACCTCTTCAACCCTACTCTGGAAAAAATAGATACAAGACTTGATGGTTGGAAGGCTAAAAACCTCACGTTTGCGGGAAGGCTTATCCTGGCCCAATCCGTCCTACAAGCCATTCCCTATTACTGCATGCACTCCACCTTCCTTCCCGCGGGAGTGTGGGGTGCGATAGACAAAAGAGTTCGACGGTTTCTTTGGAGCGGCAGCGCAGAAACTCGCAAGTGCAACCTGGTTAGATGGGAAAATGTTATCAAGCCAAAAAACAGGGGGGACTCGGACTCAAGGCCTCCAAAGATGTTAACCTTGCTTTCATGGAGAAACTAGGGTGGAGGATGCTCAACGATGACTCAAGCCTCTGGAGCCAATTCTTCAAGGAAAAATACGCTCATAATAAACTCGGGCGTGAAGTCTTCCAACCCAAGCATGGAGCATCTAACGCTTGGAGGGACATTGTAACCGCAATGCCTCTTGTTCATTCCAAGCTCCGTCACATTGTTAGAAACGGTAAGAGTGTGCGGTTTTGGAAGGATGCTTGGATCACGGCCATACCTCTCGAGGATCTTGCCAGCACTCACTGCAGGAATGACGACGCGTCACGGGTTTCGGATCTCTGGAACGCAATTGGTTGGAAATGGGACGAGCTCGCACAACTCCCGGATGACATCAAGCAGAAACTAGCTCTAATGGAACTATGGGAAGGAGACAATGAAGTAACGTGGACACCGGAAGCTTCAGGTATGTTCTCTGTCCAATCTGCATATAACGTGATTCATGGATCCACCTCGGATGTGCAAGATATAGCTTGGAGCAACATTTGGAAAATAGAAGCACCTGCAAAGATGAGAACTCTCTTGTGGACCATCATGCATGAGAGAGTTATGGGAAACGCAGAAAGAAAGAGAAGAGGGTTCACCATGGATGGGAACTGCCCCTTCTGCCCTGGACATGAAGAAACCACGCTCCATATTTTTAGGCAATGCCCCAGAGCATGGAACGTATGGAAAGGCCTCCAACAAGATATGGGGAACTGGAATGCACAGAACCAGAGCCTTAGCGACTGCATTACCGCTAATACTCGCAGGAATAGAAGGAAAACAGAGGAAACAGACAGAGCAACCCTCTTTGCAACGACTCTCTGGTGGATCTGGATTTGTAGGAATAACTCTATCTTCAGAGGTGAGGAGATTGAAACCATGAGGAAGCTGACATGGATCAAAGAAGCAGCGAATGAGATACAGAGAGCGTTCAGAAGAAACACCTCACGTAACGCAACTTCAAACTCAGCTGTGAGCTGTAATACCGAATGGAAACCTTCGGTAGGACATGAATGGACCTTAAACGTGGATGCAAGTGTGAAACCCGCAACTAATCAAGCAGGCTACGGAGGAATTCTAAGGAGAGCGAATGGGAACTGGATCCGAGGTTTTTGTGGTAACTCCAATCACGGGGACGCTACTATTGTCGAAGCTGAAGCCATCTCCAAAGGCCTTGCATGGGCTTGGAACGTTGGTATTAGGGATGTTGAGATCCAATCCGATGCCAAGAGAGTTATCCAATGGATATCTAATAACGCCGACTTGAGGGGAACAATATGTGTCTACATGGAGGAAATTAGAGAGTGGCTGACGAAGAATTGGAGAGTTTCAATCCGCAACATATTTCGAGAACAGAATGAGAGTGCGGATGCTATTGCATCTCTTGGAGCGACTTTGAATGCCAACTAGAGGGAACTTGAGAGATGCCTTGTCGGTTTAGACAAATTTGTTGAGCGAGATATTTTGCGTACTATCGGGTCGCGCAGTGGGGGTAGCTAGCGTTATCCCGGGGTTTCCCCCTCCTTCTGATAAAAAAAAAAAAACTATTATTCATGTTATTATTATAAGCAAATATTCATCTCCTTATGAATGACTCTTCATCAATGCATTAGTCCACTATCCACAGTGACACCACCAAACTATCAAAAATGCACAATGCCATCTTTTCTACATAGAACAACATGAAACTCTGCCATTTCTTTACTTCCCTTAAAACTACACTGTAATAGCCAACTCCCCTGCAAAAATTATAGTAACAATAACGGCAGTTTAACCGATGGCCATCGAGAATCTGATATGCAAGCTCCGGGCAGTGTCATAGCCGGTATCCCTTTCAAATCCGCGTATGAGAGGTTATAGAACGAACCAAGAGAGTAGATCAGTCATCAATCACTCGACTTTGTTTGTGCAGATGAGAATTGCAGATTTCATCTCTTCTTTGCTCAGTGATGTTTGAACTATCACCTGAAGAAATTATCAGAATTATCGGCATGATGATAGCATTACAAGAAGCAATAATTGGATAACAAAATTTCACCTCTTGTACTTGGTTTCCAGATCGAGCTAGTAACTTGTATTGATTCTCAGAACTCGATGCCATGTAAACCTAATAAGATCAGTATATGCTCGAGTTAGATCATGAAACACTTCCAGGCTAAAATATAAATGGATGTCAATAACTACTACAATATGATTAAAATCCCGCTATTATATCTAATTCCTCGTATTTATGACTTGAGGTTGTTGTACCTGAAACGTTGGAGCCAGACCAGGACTCAAGAAGTAACGCCCCTTTGATACGGAACTGATTCCCTCAAACTGCTGCAACTCTCTGATAAGAGATTCCACATCTGCCCACTGTCAAATCATAGTCAAATGCTTGGAAAAAAGCGACTTCCCAAAATTAGAAAAAAGGTAAGTAGGTTCAGCTTTATAATAAGTATATATAAATTACGAATTAATAATCAGGTTTAAAATTTTTTACATGGTTCACAATTCTTTCCCTATTTCAGCATCAACAAATCTACTCATATAAAGGAATTGGCCATTGAAACTGGAATAGCACATGATTTTGTTAATTTAACAAACATAAAGGATGAACAGAGAGAACCTCGGCATCTGGCTGAGCTGTTTCAAAGTTTCCATCTAAATTATCTTGATCGCCAACTATCGCCTCTAAGGCCTCCGTCATTGGATCTGGCTGCAAATAAGTATACAAAGGGATTTGGCATTCCAAATAACTAGGCAACAGAAAAAAAAAATAACAATAATAATAAAATTATGGGATAGGTTACCGTTATTTCCCTTAATGACAAGAAAATGCGGTCAAGTGAAAAATCTAGCTGATGAACTCTCGCATCCACAATCTACAACCAAAGACTCTAAACTCATAAGTAGATGCATAATGAATTCAACTGAAATCCAGCATAATTAAAACATATGGAAATTGGCGTGGTTTTTTAATCCTATATGTAGACCTATCAATCACCCGAAATTATAATTTTTTTTGCGTATACCCAGGGTTTCCACCATCGGACACAGTGACTAATTCCCTCGCTGGATTGTAGGCACCTCTTTTGGGCAGGACAGCTGGCCTAGAGATTTAAGGCTGCTCACATACCCAAAGCCAAGGATCGAACCCTTGACATTAATGTTAGTAAAGATAGTATTGCTCCTGTTATCAAGCATACAGTTCCAGAGTTGATGCATTCTACTACTTGTAATTGAGAAAAAGATGCCATTTTACCTGCCCAATTCTATAATATGATGCAGGGTCTAACATAGCATCCCACGAAACTTCTGCTTGGTGAACCAATGCTGGAACTCCTTCAACCTGCATTACAGTATTGCATTAAAACGTAATATCCGTAATCAGCTGGAGCAATCTAAATTATGCAGCTTATATTTGCAAGTTCTCATAACATGTAGAAGGTGACATGCTACCAGAGATTTGAATACAGCTATACCTCAACAAATATGCCGAAGTAGGTAATCTTTTTGATGCAACACTTCACAACATCACCAATCCTAAGTTTAGCCTGCGATACAGAAACATCATATTAGCTAATAAAGTATATTATCAACAATTAACATGATATTCAATTGAATAAAATGTTAGACACAATGAAGCTTGCATAAGACATCGTAAAATTAACAGAATGTTCAGAGGGTAAACCTTCTTACCATGAGACTTCTCTTTTTTTGAACCATTTCTTTGTTTTCTTTATGTTTCATTGAAACTATTAGCCTTCTAGTTTTTCTATCTGCCAAAATCACATTCACTTTCACTGTCTGCATCCAAAAGAACTACAAGTTATGGCCTTATTGAGAGGACAGAGATTACAGTTCAAAATCATGCCTTCACACCTGACCAACAAATGATGTTAGGAACTTGAGTTTCTCTTGGTCAAAAATACTAAGAAGCTTCTCAAGTTTCATATCTGGTGAGACCTCAAATGTATTATCAGTTTGCAAAACAATCCTTGACTCAGAAGAATCTGTCATTTTATCATCATAGTCTCTTATAACTCCCAAATTTTGTTTGTAGGTGGATGGGTCTAAGCCTTTTGATCTCAACCAAGACTCAAAGGGCATGAATCTCAAATTTGCTGCTAGATTTCGGTATGGCAAATATCCTACCAAGGAACCAAAAGATACCTGTAAACAAAGGAAAAGCGTTTGACTAGATATTTGAAGGTAAGAGAATCATAATTGGAGAAGAAGAAAAAACATCTAAAATACTACGTTTTACATTAATAAGTACACTTACAACAAATCCTCTGGTGCTAGAACTAATCAGTTCCACTTCCTTTCTTTCTCCTGTCTTAACAAGATTCTCAGCGCTTGTCCAGTCATAATCTTCATGGTCCTGAGATGTATGCAAGACTAAATTATGTCATTACATGCTTCTTTGTCATGCTCTGACAACAAGTAAAATCTATCAACCTTAATTGTTGATGTCTTGAGAAAGCTGTCAAGCTCAATATCAACGTCATTGCTCTCAGAATTGGCAGTAATCACCTCCTTTTGAGGTATAGACTTTTTGGTTTGGTCTAATCTATAAGACAACAACTGATCAGTGGCCATATAAACAACTGAAGAACAAGAAGAAGAAAACCCGAGAAAACAAAAAGTGTGCACTATACCTTTCAGGTTTTCCAAGCAGTGCAGCATCTAAATGTTCAGCTGATCTTGTCCCAGAAAGACTATTAAAAGCGAAGCTTTGCCCAACACTCTGATCTAACCCTTGGAGAGAACCAACAACTTTTAGTAAAATTTTAAATGTCGTTTATAATAATACTACAATCATGAAATTTTCTGCAAAATAGCGAAATTACCCTTCCTGGGATGCTCCACAACATAATTTCCATCTGTTTGTTGATATTGGTCGGGGGCATTGGCAAGATTCAAACTCTCTTCATCAATACTGTCAACTTTTTGTTCTTGATTTAAATCCAGAGGTTCTGGTTTCTTCAGAGGTATGACATCCTGAGGTTCACCCCTTGTAACATGCACATTGGTAGGAATACTCTCTCCAATGTCATCACGAGCTTCGGATTTGGCATCACTAGAATGTCCATCCTTTTCATTTTCACTGGCACTGGTTCTTATGGGCTCAGGTTTCTTCAACAATGTCATATCACTCGTATTTAGGGGTTCATTGCGCATGTTTAGTGTTAAGTTTGGCCTCATTTTGAATCTTGATGGTCTAACACTACCAGTATCCTCATCAGAATAAACAGTTGGCTTGCGCAAGGTTACATTTGGAACACTGCTTTTACTATTTTCAACAGGTTCAGAGATTTGTTTGCTTGGCTTCATCTCCTTAGTATCTACTGATTCTTGTGTTAACTTTGGCTTCATTCCAAAACTTGATGTTTTAACACTACCAGTATCCGTTGGCTTCCGCAAGATTACATTTGGAACACTGTTTTCAACAGGTCTAGAGATTTGTTTGCTCGGTTTAATCTCCCTAGTCTCTATCGATTGTTTATCATCAATGTCAAACTCGAATCCTTTCTTGGGCACAGGCCGAACCAAATTTAACTCGCTCTTTGAATTCAGTGAACCCCTTTTTGTTGGCACATCAAAAGGAACTTCCTCTATATCATTACCCAGTACTTTGCCCTTGTTCTTCCTAAATGATTCTTCAATTTCAAGATATGACATGTCAGGGTTGGCCCTCTTACCCATTATCTACATACCCAAGAACTAAATCAGAATGTAATCAAAATTTAACATTCATTAAGTCAATCACAACTCACATTCAAAATCTTTATTGAGACATCCACTACAACATTTTTGTTTAACACAAAATATCTAACTCAACATTAATGTTATAGTTTACAAAGTTTCATTCAATTCAAGAACAGTCAATTGGATAACCTCAACAAACAAACAACAAACAAAAGTTCCAAAACAGAAATCATTGTTTACCAAAATTTAGGAAAACACAAATTAAAAAAATTGAAATGAAAAAAGAATAATAATAAAAGACCTTGGCTAACGTTAATTTGGGGTCTTCACCCATGAGTCTGCCAAACTTGAGCTCCATTTGTTCCCACTGGTTCAGCTTGGGCGGGGGTTTGTCCCCATTGGAAGCAAAAACAGAAATTTTTTTGGGTTTTCTGGGGAAAAAGAGTGTTACTGATCTTCTCCGGGAGTGGAAGATTGAATCCGAGAAGAAATGGGTGGTTATGGAGTTGGCAGTGGAGGAAGTGACTGTGCCTAGGCTGAGAGCTTCCATTGTTGAAGAACCAAAGAAAAAACTGTCAGATTATGAGAGTGAAAAGCATCGAGAGCTATGGGTTTTTGAAGCTGAAGCAAAATTCAGTGTTTTTAGAGGAGAAACGCAAGCGATATGAGGCTGAAAATGGCGTTGTAATGGAGCCGTAAAAGAGCCAGAAGTTGAGGCGAGGGAGAGGATTTTTATGATTTTATCCTCTGTTTGCTGGCGAGTTATCCATGACCAATGTCTACTTTGCATTATACACTTGATTCAAAATAATTTTTAATTTTTTTTTGAGAATAATAATTTTTAAATTATATATTTACAATTGACATATTATGTGGAAATAAGTAATATTTGATGTGCATGTAGTTAATATATTATATGTCTTCAATTTATTTATAGACACATAAATAGTTAACTATAGATACATTATTAACTATAGATACAGAATATATCAATTATAAACACATAATTATTTTTATAAAAGTTCACAATATAAGATAAATTCCGGTCCTTAGTATAACAATTGTTGTGTGTTTGCCGGGTGAGAATTTAATCAAGTTAAATGAAAACAAAAAAAACTAAGAGAGGATTTTTATTAAAATTGAGCTTGAAAATGTTCGTTTATTTGATTTTTATGAATCAGTTTTTTATTTTATTATTTTTTTTTTGAGAGGTTATGAATCAGTTATAAGCAGACATGGTCAGTGTCTTGTTTAATCGAAGAGTCAAAATCAAATTGTGCAGTGTATGAACTAGCCTTAAACGATGATCGTACAAAAGCACTATTGTGAAACTGTTACAATTTTAGCTATGGGCAAACCATTATTTGATCCTTTTAAAAAATTTAAATAAAAAAAAAAAAAACAAAAACAAAAACAAGAGAAAATGTCACTTTTTCTCTCCATATTGTTTATTTATAGCACATTTTCTCCACTTTATCCCCAAATTTTTTTTTTGAATGCTACTAGCTCTATTACATTGTAGTATAGCACATTTTCTCCCTGTATTATTTATGTAACCACTTTATCCCCAAATTTTTTATGTAACCACTTTATCCCCAAATTTTTTTTTTGAATGCTACTAGCTCTATTACATTGTAGTATCTGTTCATATACTTTCTCAACCTACTGAAACACAACGAGCTAATAACGCCTCCATTGAGGCTCGAACTTACAACCTTCCAAATGGAAGTCCAACCCGGGTACCATTAGACCACATAGTCCTGGTCCCTCTCCGTTAAAGAGAAAATTTTAATTTTGGTCCACTGACTATTGCACTTGTGTTAATTGCAACACTTGACTTTTAAAAATATTAATTTAGTACCTTGACTATGTAATTTTTATCAATTTTGGTCATGTCGGCCAAATTACCGGCCAAATGTGACCGGAAAAACTTTTAACAGTTTTTAATTTTTTATTTATGGGGCAAAACAATCATTTTACGTTTAAAAAAATAAAAATTATTTGCTTCTTCTTCTTCCTCAACACCTCCAGCGCCACATACGCCGGAGTTCCACACTGCGTTGCAAGAGGCCATCATTCCTCTGTTGCTCGGGCAAAGCAGAAAAGCTGAAATCAGAAACCTTCAAAAAATTATTTGCTTCTTCTTCTTCGCAGTCGCTCAGCCCTTTAATCAGCTTCTTGTGCACCTCCCCGAGAGGAATCTCCGGCGGCCACTAGCAGTCTACGGCGGCCTTCATGGATTCCGATTCGAACACGAATATAACCACCTTTGTCTTCTTCGTCCCCAAGCCGAGAGTGAGCGTGTGCCAAGCCTGGTGGACCAGGATCGTGAAATTTGTCGGCATGAAAGCGGTGGTGAAAGGGAAAGGCCAAAGGCGGCTTGGCGGCGTCGGAGGGCGATGGTGGAAGCGTGAGGAGGTGGAGGAGCTCCGGCGGCCGCGCACGACGGACAGTACGTGAAGGATTTGACGATGAATTGGCCGCGAATTTGAGACCCTTTACTTTGGAATTGGGCGGTGGAGGATATCACGATGAATTGGATGCTGAATTGGCCGCCGAAGAAGGATTTTCCTCTACTCTTAACATGAAAAGACGAATTTACCCCTTTCAATTCAATTTAAATGTTGACTTAAAATTTTTCGGTCACATTTGACCGGTAATTTAGCCGGAATGACTAAAATTGATAAAAATTACATAGTCAAAGTACTAAATTAACGGTTTTGAAAGTCAGGTGTTACAATTAACACAAGTTCAATAGTCAGTGGACCAAAATTGAAATTTTCTCCTCCGTTAAATAAGTGTTAAGACTATTAAAAATGAGGATAAAATGGCATTTCACTTATGCTTTCCTTCTTTCATTATAAAATGCAAAATACAACCATTTCCCCAAATTACATGACATTTTGTACCTAACCTCCAAATTCACTTGCCAGATATAACCACTTAGCCCAAGTCTCCATGCATCTATTTACCCTTTCAGTTTGGCCATCTGATTGTGGATGATAGGCTGTGGACATGCTCAATTGAATTTGCAGCTGTTTGAATGTAGTTTGCCAGAATTTGCCCAAAAATACTAAATCTCTGTCAGTTACAATGTCCTCAGGCACTCCATGCAGCTTGTAAATGTTTTCCATGAAAGTCATAGCTACTATCTCAGCAGTATATGAATGAGCCAATGCAAAGAAGTGACTGTACTTAGTAAGCCTGTCCACAATCACCAAGATCACCTCCTTCCCATGGGACTTTGGTAATCCTTCAATAAAATCCATGGATATGCCCCTCCAAGCTTGCTCAGGGATAGACAATGGCTGTAAGAGGCCAGGAGAAGCCACAGTCTCAGGTTTGCATCTTTGGCAAGTGTCACAACTTTCCACCATTTCCTTAACTGTCACCTTCATTTTCTGCCAATAGAATAGAGCCCTTAATCTTTGATATGTGCCCTGCTGGCCAGAGTGCCCTCCCAGAGGGGAATTATGCATCTGGGACACTAACTTAGATCTTAATTCTCCCTTAGTACTAATATAAAGCCTCTGCTTAAATCTGATTAAGCCATCCACAATAGTGATCCTAGGATCAGTTCCAGGAGTGATCAAGGATGCTGTTAGTTGGCTTTGGGCCCAATCATCATCTTCATAGCTGCCAAACACCTCTTCCATCCACTGGGGTCTAATTGTGAACACTGAGTTAAGTGTAGGCCTATTGCTGTTGACTTCCCACTCTTGATCAGTTTCTCTTCTGGACAAGGCATTTGCAACACAATTCTCAATGCCTTTCTTATACTGGATAGTATAATGTAGTCCCAAGAGCTTAGCTAGTCATCTTTGCTGAGTGGAAGTTGTGATCTTCTGATCCAATAGGAATTTGAGACTATGGTGGTCAGTCTTTATGAGGAAATGTCTGCCCAATAAGTATGGCTTCCATTTCTCCACTGCATTAATGATTGACATATATTCTTTCTCATATATAGATAACCCCAAGTGTTTTTCTCCAAATGCTTTGCTGAAATATGCCACTGGTTTACCTTCTTGGATTAGTACTGCCCCCATTCCCCTACTGCAAGCATCAGCTTCAATTGTAAAAGGCTTTTGAAAATCAGGTAGGGCCAAAACTGGAGCTGAACATAAGGCTTGTTTAAGTCTCTCAAAGGCACATTCAGCTTCTTCATTCCAGTGGTAGGAATTCTTTTTCAGCATATTTGTCAGTGGCTTACTAATCACCCCATAGGATTTGATGAATCTTCTATAGTACCCAGTTAGGCCTAGAAACCCCCTCAGTCCTTTGATAGATACATGTTTTAATTTGGCCACTCTACAACAGCCTTAAGTTTGGAAGGATCTGTTTGTAGCCCTTGCTCTGATATAACATGCCCCAAATACTCCACTTCTTTCTTTGCAAAAGAGCATTTGCTAAGCTTAGCTAGCAGTTTATGTGCCCTCATCAGACTCAATACCTCCCTCAGATTGTTCCAGTGCTCATTCAGTCCTGAACTGTAAATCAGAATATCATCAAAAAAGACTAGGACAAATTTCGTTAGTAATGGTTTGAATATGTGGTTCATTAGGGCTTGGAATGTGGCTAGGGCATTGGTAAAGCCAAAAGGCATGACCCTAAACTCATACAAGCCTTGGTGAGTCTTAAAAGTAGTTTTGTGTTCTTCTCCTTCCTTCATTCTCACCTGGTGATATCCTGCCCTCAGATCCAGTTTAGAGAAGTATTTAGAGCCCGCCAATTCAGAAAAAAGATCCTCTACTACTGGGATAGGATATTTGTTCTTCACAGTGATGTTATTTAAGGCTCTATAATCAACACAAAATCTCCAAGTTCCATCCTTCTTGGGTACCAGCAGAACAGGAGATGAGAATGATGATACACTCTCAGTAATTACCCCAGCTTCTAGCATTTCTTCCACCATCTTCTCTATCACATTTTTTTGATCAAAAGAATATCTGTATGGTTTGATGTTTACTGGTTGTGCTCCTAGAATCAAGGTAATTGCATGATCATAAGCCCTTCTAGGTGGTAATGTCTGTGGTTCATCAAACAATTCATTGAACTCATCCAATATTGTAGTTAGTTCTGGAAATTCTGTTTGAACTTCCACCTTATAACATGAACTGGATCTGCTTTCAACTTCTTTTCTGCTGATTCCTTCACACTGCACAAGGAATCCTTATACTCCACAATGCTGCCATTTCTTGAGGTCCCTTTTAGTTGCTGCTTGCAAATTATGTGGCTTCCTGGTTAACCCTTTCAACAACACTCTCCTCCCTTCCTTGTGGAATGATATACCCAAGGGCCTAGTGTGTAATTGTATGGGGGCAAACTGGTCTATCCAGTCCATTCCAAGGACTATGTCACACCCTCCCAGCTTTAACAATCTGAAGTCCTTTTCAAAGTCTTCCTTCTGAATTTGCCATCTCAATTTCTTACAAATGGTGTCACATCTCATTTGTTCCCCATTAGCTACTGTCACATTGAGGACCTGAGTTCTTTCTGGTTCTATCCTTAATTGTGTGAGGAGTTTGGGATCAAGGAAGTTATGTGTACTTCCACTATCCACAAGGATGACCACTGCTTGCTTGTGTATGGATCCAAGTAGCTTGATGGTGTTCATTCCTTCCATGAGAGCTAATACGCTAAAAACAAGATCGAGAAAAGAATAAGAATTGAAGCAATCAACGGGATTGAATGGGTATGAACATGGATTACGCCTCAATGTTTAAATGGAATCATTGCTGCCTTCTTTCTTTCA